ATGTTAGTAAGTAGCGTCCGTTTCTCGAAAAAGGTTTTAACTTGGATTTTAAAAAGAAAAAAAAAATCTGATTTTTATTAAATAAATTCGATAAATTCTTTAAAATAAAACGGGACGTTACAGTTTGGTATCAGAGCCAGTCTTGCTTTTCTGTAGACTGGTTCATATGTGATTAAGTGTGTAAGGACCATTTGACCACTCGCTTTCGTTTCGCCGCGCCAGCTCAAGGTATGAGTGTATTTGTTTTGATTATTGTGAATAACGTGATTATGGTTTGTTCTTTTTATTGGGGCTTAGGAATTTACCCTCCGTTTATACGGACTTGAACTCTAGTGGTATAGAGTTAAGTGCCGACTTTAGAGATTTTTGGTTGTGAGTTTTGATTTGGTGTTATCGAGTTAAGTTCGGTCTATAGCAGTGCTCTCGTTGTGAGTTTCTGTTTAGTACCATCGAGTGAGAATCATTCGTAAGCTATCTCGAAAGAGAAGGCTTAAGTAAACGGAACAGACAAACGAAGAAGTCCCGGGTGTGTGGATTATTCGGAAGTCTGTGACTATTGTGGCTAGAATTATTTAGACGCGTGTAGAACTCGGTCAATGGGAACCGGGAGTGGAGTCTAAGTGTCAGTTTCATATCGATGATCTGACCACTTGTGCTTGTAGATTCGTGGAAATCAGTTTGATGGCTGATTTCCCTTGTTCGTTATTATTCGTTCTTTCTCGTTGGTTTGTCTCGCAATTTCTTCAAGGATATTGATAACTCTCGTCTTCTATAAATCGAGTATCGTGTAGTTGCTGTGATAAACATGTTGTGCTCGTTTATTTCTGTCTGGAAGTCATATTAATCGTGGTCGAGCTTAGAACATTCGTTATATATGTTCATTGTTATTTCTTGTTAATTCGCATGTTCGCTGTTTCTGTTGTGCCTCAGTTTAAGCCATCAGAGGGTGGCTATTTGAAGTTGCTATCTTCTTAAGAAATGTAGTATCCTCGGTTGTCTGTATCTGGGCTTTGAAATTTCTCGATTCCGAGTTATATCGAATAAGTTATGATTTTTACGAGAGTACTGCGCGTCCAGTTTTTCTGTTACCCGGCAGCATGTGTGTAATTAATGTATGACCTATTTATCATGTCATAACGTGCTCGTATGAATTTATGCTCTTCATGGAAGTTATAGGTCTGTTTCTTATATTTCAAATGAGATAAATTTCATGTTAATATGTGTTTTGTAGCTCGAGTCGTGTTCTTAGGAAGATAGACATGCATGAGATAGAGTTTTGTGTTTTGACAGAAATCTGATATTGAATGTTAACTGATTTTACACTATATAAATGACCTTTTATGCTCGTGTGTTCTAAAGGAAAGTTATAGGGGCATGCTTAAGGTTTAATTTGAGACTTGAACCATGTCATTTGAAGGTCTGTAGCTCAGTCTAGGTTGTAAACACTGAGGTGCTGTCCATAACACATTTTATTTTTTTTTGACAGATTTTCTGAACCACATGTTTTGTGTTTAAACTCATTGAAAATGTGTTTATTTGCCAAAGTGACCTTCAGCAAAGTTGTAGACGTTTGAGATATATATCATTTGGTTTTTAAACTTCATTAAAATCATGCCTGTAGCTTCAGTTAGAGAGAAATTACTGAAGTCTGGCTAGGTGCATTACCCCAGTTTTGGTCTGTAAATAAATTTTTAATGTTGTTGATTTATCACCTGCTAAATGGCCTTATTTGCTTCCGGTGTCTTCACATGAATTGTAGTTTTGCCTCTTATGATTTAAATGTCACAAGTTTCATTCATATAGTATTTTTTTTTTGTTCAAAGAGATGCATTAAAATACAGACTTCGTGCAATTCAGTTTTCTAGAAATTTGCAACAAATATTAACGTGCGAGTTTGATCCGTTTTCAACCCTTTAACCTATTGTTCACTCCTTTGCTACCCGAGTGCTATTCCTTTATCCTTGATTGCTACTTTTCGCTTAGTAGTCAAGTTTGAATTGTATTTCGTGACCAATTCTTGTTATTTGATTTTCGTTCCGTGACAATTCGCTTGATTTTCTTTTCCTTGCGGAGAATATTGGGATGGAGTTGAGCATCGAATTTCAGTTTCCATTGATCCTTATTTGATATCGAACCGTGTGTAGTAACGTCGCTAAGTCGATGCGAAGGTCGACTTGAGAGTACCTTAGCTTCGAGATAGACGGCGATCAATTTTCTTTCGTGTTCTATTTTAACTTTGAACCGAAGTGGCGTACGTGAGAATCATCGCATACCTGATCGGGAGGAGCCTCGACACCTTTCTAGGGATATTTTTTGTCATAGGAGAATCTTTTAAGGAGGGTAGTCGAGCCTGATGTAACCGCATCGTGAGGTGCAGAACCGTCTTCGTTTTTGAATTGTGATTATCATAAATCTTTGAAAAACTCTCATTCTTTTTCCCTTCGGAGTTTCGAGAGTGAACCTTTGTATTTTATTTGATTCTTTGGCAATCCTCTGAAAACTCTTGTTTTTGTCATTTGGAGTTTCATTTCAAGATTTGCAACCTGATATATTGATTAAGACGAGCAGTTTCGTTTTTCCGCTTGTCTTATATCGTTCCTTTTGATTTTGGTGATGCCATTTCAGTCTGGGTACTTCATTCATACCCGGATCGATTAGTCGTGCTTTATTTTTATCGTTGATGACCCATATTCGAGACGCGATCGAGATGAATCAACCAAGAAGGCTTCGTGATGAGATCCAGAAACGTGAAAATCTTAGCAGTGTAGAAATTCAGCTCGTATGGGACTGCCGGCACGATTAGCTACTAGGGATAGAGCTAACGTGACGGCCGACACTTTTAGTCGGAAGAGTCATGTGAGCTGATCAACTGCATTGTTCGGCAACGACCGCTGAGTTGGGGATGATTTCTAGCTGAGGATGCCGATGTTCCTTTTCTTTAGATGTGATGTTTTGAAACCCTGAACCTTTCGAGATTGTTAATACCTAAATGCTGGGGGATAATGTCCTTGTTGAACCCTAATGTCTCTTGGTTTTGTGAAAACCTTTTTCCTTTCGGGTTACCTCTGATAGTGCGAGCCTTGAATTAGAGTAATCCTTATTGTACCTCGAACCGAACGCCGACGCTGACTGGGTGTAGTCACGCGAAGTGGTGGTCGAGCACGCGAGCCCGTGCTGAAAGACGTGAGGCACTGCAGGGCCGATCGTTGACTCGCACGCGAGCTGCAGCCACCATCACCGAATGCAGGAGTTCCCCAAGCTAGTGTGTGGCCGAAACCTTGACCTTGCAGCTGTTCTCCGAACAGATGTAGGCACACGTCCCAGCGCCTCGCTTATGCAGCGCCAGTGTGTATGACATCTCTCAGGTGACAGTGCATTTAACCCTGGACTGGCCTTGTCTTTTAGATCGTTATAATGGGATCATCGAGCATCCCTATTTGAGAGCCAGTTTCTGCGATAGTGGTTGTTTTCGAATGTCTAGTCGATACTTCCTAAACCGCATACGAGCTGTTACTCGTGTGGGCAAGGAATGAGGCTTTGTCACCAATATCGAGCAGAACCGTGGCTTCTGTAGGTATCAGTGTTGAGTTCTGGTGTTATTGTTGCTTGTTAGCCTTTTTATGAGATCCCGTGGCGGCCCGTTTGATACGGACGCACGGATCACGTTGGGATCGTGGGCAAGTTGTCAACGTGACCCGGGCACGAGACTGAACTTGGCATCGCGTAGAAATCCAGATAGTTATGCGTTTAGGACATGCTGTCGAGACCCTGAGAGACTGGTTTTGAGTCTGGTGTACTCGATGGGTGTGTCGTGTGGAATTTTTTACCATAAGAAAATGCGCTTATAGCAATGGCTATGAGTGACGATCTTGATGGTACCGTACGAGGTTCTGAGTACGGAAAGAGGCGTTGTACGCCTCGAGTTCTAGTAAGAGAGGAAGTATCAACCACATTTGTTGGTCCTTTCGTGATTCTCGACCGAGTCGGCGTCTTAGCCTGACGGTTGACCCCCATTACCGGAGTTTGCAAGAGTGCACGACCTGTTCAGTGCCTCGTGGAGAGGGGACAGATGCGCGATTCTAGGCACGAGGCGATCTTTGACGAGCTGCATGTGGGCAGAACCTTACCTTTGATGAGGTACCGGTGACCTACTGGATTGACGAATCCAGAGGAAGAACCCGGAAGAGGTACTCGTCAAAGTCCGGCAGGGTAACCGTGGCTAGTGCGGTGTGACTTGGTAGAGTGGGAAGATTCGGACGGGGTATCCGAGTTTAGTGGTTTGAGCTTCTCTCTTGTGTCAGTTGTCCTGTTGGGATGATTTTCTTTTATTTCCGGGGACGGAAATCGTTTAAGGAGGGTAGACTGTAATGCCCCATTTATTTGTGATTTATTTGTAGTAATTATTATTATTATTATTATTATTATTATTATTATTATTATTATTATTATTATTATTGTGATAATATTTATATTTATTTTTCTTGAATGCCATAATATTTATTAATTGTCAAATGTGATTAAATGCTAAATGTGTAATTGTCTAATTGATTTTTGTGATATATTTAATTATTAATGTGTATTATAAAAATATGAAATATATATATATATATTGTTCGGTATATTTTATCGCGCGTTTGCATTCGAAATCGAGCCCGAGAATTTTTGTTGGAACCGAAATTGAGCCCGAAGATGTCCGTTTAAATTTTTAATCGAGCCCGTGAGCCGATTTGATGTCCCAACCGACCCAAAATCCATTTGGCCCAACTTCTCGGGCCCGGCCCGACAGATTTTCTCCTCTTTTTCTTTCTTTCACGCGCGTGTGTGTATGATGTCTTGGACATCAAGATAAATTTTGTAAAACCGAGTCAATTAATGTGTACCCTAATCTCTCTTCTATCAACACGCCCGCAGCCTTCTCATTCTCCCTCTTCTCTCGTTTTCGGTCGCGCAGTAGAAGGAAGAAGAGAGAAAATCTCAAGTTTGAAAACGATCGACTTCACCCTCTCTCTCTCTTTCTTTTCGGCTTTCTGTTTTCTTTTTCCCGTCAGTTTAATTCGATCAGCGCGCAATCGCCCTCCTTTCATCATCGTCATCCTCGTCATCTTGCTCGTTTTTCAGACACCACCACGAGCAGCACCACCAGTCGCTGCTCCCTTGCCGTCGCGCCAGCAACCAGGCGACCTCAGCAACTTCCGGCGAGCAGAACCACCACGATCAGGCTGCAACCCCGGCGACGTGAAGGAACTCCGACGACCCTTCTCCTCCTTTTCCGCCGAGCCCGGTTCGCGCAGCACCTCTACGGGTGAACACCGACAAGCCGCTGCGAGCCTGTCGCCTTCCTCCATTGCTGCAAGCCGCGAAGTTCTTCTGGCGAACCCTCCATCTCCGACAAGCTCCGACGGCCATTCCCGCTCGCGTAGCTCTGCCCCGAACAGCCGACTCCTCAGCGGCGAGTAGCCTCTTTTCCGGCGGGACGAAGCTTGCCGTTGAGCCTCGAGCCGTCTTCACGTGTCGTTTGATCGAGCCCGTCAACCTTACGTCTGTCCGTTTTCGCTCGATTCTCGAGAACGGTACCTCGTCGTTTTTCCATCTCGTTTAATTCATATATGTTTCGTTGAATTCTTCATGTTCGTGAAGTGCTCGTGTTATATATGATGTGAATTTATTATGTGAATATGTGCGATTATATGAATTGTTGTGTTCGTATGTTCTGGATCTCTTCGATTTTCTCAAAAATCGAACGAGACCTCGAAAGTCGTGTAAGTCAGTGGATAATGGAACAATGTCGAGTCCTTGGTCTTATGAAAAGGCCTCGGACGATAAATTGTGTGTTGTGATTTAATTGTCAAGTTGTCGAGCTTGTTAATCGCTGTTTTGATGTTCGAATTTTTAAAAATAGGTCGCTGCTCGAAACGATGTGAAATTTTGAGGGATGTGTTATCTGTTCATTTTCTGCCTTGTGTAATATTTTCATAATTTTTGGAGACCTGTAGTTATTTTTAATAATTAAATTGTGTTCTGTCCATAATATTGTTAAATACATAATAAATTCATGCTTGACTGAAAGGAGCTGAAATTTGAATATGTCATGCCTCTGTGACTTATATATGTTGTGTTAAATTTTTAGAATATTTGGAGTTGATTTGATATGGGTAATATTTTATTTATTGAATCTGCAGAATTGTTTTTTGAATTTTTAAAAATCGGTTACTGCATGGAAAATTCTGAAA